GGGCTGGACTTCTGGGAGAAAATAATCCTTTTCCATCCTTCCCCTCTGCTCAGGAGGGTGACAGCAAAACCCATCAATAAATGACTGTCACAGACCCAACTGTGGTGGCAGTAGCAGGACTTACTCCTCAGAGTAAAGAGAAGTGAACTCAATCCAAGGGAAAGAATAATTTGCCTTCCAGCTACTGTTTATGAGGGAAAGGCAAGTCTGGTTTGCTCTGTCTGCCTTTCTGAGGGAGTCAACAAAATCCTGTCTGTTCTCTGGGGCTGCCTTGGCATGAATTGGCATCTCAGAGTGATTTGTTCAAGTGCTGGGACGATCCTGCAGCTTCAGGTCTGGCAGCTTTTGGTTCTTGGTGCTGATAACTGGAAAAACAAACCCTGATTTAGGGACTGGGCAGCAGGTTTTACTAAAATATGTAAAGATACCAAGGAAAAAGTCCCTCAGCCCTGCTTTCTGCTAATTGGGGTTGTTTTCTTTGTTCTGTGCTTGCAGTAACTGGAGCTCTTTGATGTAGGAACCTGAGGGGTTTGGTATTTCTTTTATTTTAGGAATTTCTGCAGGTTGAGCTAACCCCAAATCTCCAGCATCCCCAGAGGTTTGGGCAGCAGCTGGAGTGTCACAGCAGTGGTGTGTGCTGGGGGAGAGCCCTGGGCTCTGCTGCCTCCATAAATAAGGGGGTTTTATAGGGATGAGATCACGTGGAATCCCAAAATGGTTTGGGTTGGAAGGGACCCTAAAGCTCATCCCATCCCACCCCCTGCCACGGGCAGGGACACCTTCCACTGGTCCAGGTTGCTCCAAACCTTGTCCAACCTGGCCCTGGACACTTCAGTTGATAGAACTGTGCTCATCATAAGTCTTGTGGTGGCCAAAATCCGGGCTTTGGTGCCAGGTCTGTGCTTCACGTGCTTGGGATATCTCAGTGTGACATGATGGTAAATTTGAGGCTTTGTTACTGGTGCTGCTGCTGGGAGGAACTTGTTGAATAAATGCTGATCACAGATCATGAGCAGCAGCCCAGCAATGGGAGGATTTCTCTGCAAACCCTCAGCATTTGCAGTGAGAGGCTCTGGCCATGTTTAGGTTGTCCTCACGTAGCACTGGCAATGGAACAGAAAAGACAAGTGATGCTGGCAGAGGATCCCTGGAAAAGGGATGAGTCAATGCTTGGGGCTTCTATAGATTCCATAAATCCAAGCTCAGCCTCTCCTGCCAAGTGTTTGGCTGAGGTTTGAGCTGAGCCTTGGTGAGAGACGTCCTTGTTCTTGGACAGGCCTCCTTTCATCCCACGGGATCCACGCGCTCCAGGACTCCCCCGAGCCCTGGGTTTGAAGTGTTCATCACATGTCTCCCAGTGATTGCAGTTTATGGGTCCAGGATGTACCACCAGCTCCAGTCCTTGGCAGGAGTCCTGTCACGAACAGGAGCTGCTCCTGGACATGCAGGAATATCACTGCAGCTCTCCAGGCAGCAGGTTCTGAACCTCCTTTGTGTTGGGAAAACACAACCTGAGTTCATGTTGGGATTTGTGGCACCACCTTTTGAGTTCTTCAGGAGTGTTTGTACCCTGTGTCTTCAGGAATTTAAACAATAATCCTCTCTGCAGTGCAGGATCCAAACCAACATCTCCAAGGGGTGTCAGGATGGTGCCAGATCTGTTCAGTGGTGCCCAGTGACAGCGTGAGGAGCAGCAGCCACAAACTAAAACACAACAATTCCACCTCAACATGAGGCAGAACTTCTTTCCCTGGAGGTGGCAGAGCCCTGGAACAGCTGCCCGGGGAGGGTGTGGAGTCTCCCTCTCTCTCTCTCTGACATTCCAACCCCCCCTGGATGAGTTCCTGTGCCACCTCCCTGGGCAGGGGGTTGGACTGGGTGATCTCCAACCCCAACCAGTCCTGTCACTGTGCAGTTTGCTTCAGGTTTGGGACCCTGAGGTGGCTGTAAAATGCCCAGTGATGGACAAACACAGGGTTAAAGACACTGCCATGACCTGGGTGCCTTGAGGGTGCTCTGGGTGAGCTGAGACACAACCAAATCCAGGGTTTGGTGCCAGGTCTGTGCTTCACGTGCTTGGGATATCTCGGTGTGACATAATGGTAAATTTGAGGCTTTTTCACTGGTGCTGCTGCTGGGAGGAACTTGTTGAATAAATGCTGATCACAGGCTGTGGGTGTGAAAAAGGAAGAGGAGGCTCCAGGGAGAACTTACAGCAGTTTTCCAGTGCTCCAAGAGAGCTGGAGAGGGACTTTTCACAAGGGCATGGAGAGACAGGGAATGGCCTAAAGCTGAAGGAGGGAAGGTTTAGATGGGATATTGGGAAGGAATTGTTCCCTGGGAGGGTGGGGAGGCCCTGGCACAGGTTGCCCAGAGAAGCTGTGGCTGCCCCTGGATCCCTGGAAGTGTCCAAGGCCAGGTTGGATGGGGCTTGGATCAACCTGGGCTAGTGGAAGGTGTCCCTGCCCATGGCAGGGGGTGGAATATAATCTTTAGGATCCCTTCCCAGCCAAACCAGTCTGCAATTCTATTTATATATCCATGCTGGGCCTCAATAATTTCGGTTAAGCTGCTGTATTTCAATCATTTTCTCTCATTAAGTGCCCACAAAGCCCAGAGCCTGCCTGAGGTGGGGAGAGGCAGCTCTGCCTCCTCTCTGCTCTTCAAAAGCCTCTGCAGAGAAGGCTGTGCCTGTGCAACCCTTCCTGAATTGCCTTTTTTCATGCTTTGGTAGCTGAAGGGCGAGTCTGAATCTCAGCAGAAGGTTCAAGAAATGTTCCCAGATCAAAGAAATTCTTTATCTTGTAGATGAAGGCTGAAATGTGCTATTTGTGGGTTTTTGCAGATCCTTATCTTGTGTGAGCTCCTGGGCAGCTTTGGCCCTTTGGTCACTTGATGTGGCTGCTCTGTCAGGCTGTGGATCTTGAAAGGCTTGTTTAAGGAACAGTTAGAAGAGCCAGTCCCACTTCAGGGAGTGATTTCTCTCTTAGCCTTTCCCAAACTTGGCTTTTGGGGGTCAGCAGTCAGGGTTTTGCAGGGCAGAACTGCAGGAGAGGGGTTTGCTGAGCCACCTCAGTGTTGGGGTGGGAAAAACTCCTCCAACAGTCTATTTTCAGATGGAAGATTTGAAGGAAAAGTAGATTTTAGGCAGGATGTTAAAGAAGCCTTAAAACTAGTCTGAGACACAAAGAACTACATGTGGTGCTGCTCCAAACTGGCCTGATTTTAATTAAACCAGAGGGATGGAGTGGTGTCAGTGAGGAGCAGAATGTGTTTTATGCTCTCTTTAATTTGGTTTGTAGTGTTGAGGAGTATCTTGGTACATGGGAGTATCTTGTTTTCCTGGGGCTTGGAGATGCTGAAACGATTTTGGCTGCCAGAACATGACTCATTAGAAGAATTTTAATAGCCCTGGTGAAACAGGACCTTCCCTGTCAAACCCCAGTTGCTGTGTTGTAGTTAATTCTCTCTTTAAGCTGCTGCTCTTGCCAGTTTGCCCCTTATCAGGGGGTGGTTTGAAATTGGCGTCAAATCTAAAATCTGGCAGGTTTTGGGGCCTGGTGCCTCCATTTGCCATTTCATTCTTGGTGCCTCCAGGTCTGGACCATGACCCAGCCCTGGCTGTGGTGCAGCACCAGCTGTTTTGTGTTCCTGAAGTGCAGCACGAGGGATTTGTTTGTATCCCTGTTTTTTTGTTCTCCCAGAGTTATTCCATTGCTGTGCATCAGGGAACACAAAAGCTGCTCAGGCTGAGCGTGGGCAAAGCTCTGTTTAGGACTTGTGAAAGAATAGAGAAGCTAAACCCAGTCCTGAATTAGTGCAGGGAGTTGTTCCATCCCTCTGAGCTTGGAATTCTTAGTCCATGATGCTGCAGTTGGTGCTGGCAGATGAGTAAGGAGGGTGATTACAGGGAGTCCTGCTCTGGAGGAGATACAGATGTTGAGTAACTTCCTTTTGCAGCTCAAGTGCTGTCCTTAAAATGACAATCTGTCCAACTGGGCCTGTTTGGTTCAGCTGGACAGGTCAGGGAAGGTGTTTGCTCTTGGTGCCTCCAGGCAGTGAAGCTGTTGTTGTGTTTTGGGGCTGCTCCAGAACCTTCTGGCTCTTGGCAGAGTGTCTTCCCTGCCCAGGCTGCTGGGAGTGGGGCACTTTCTGGAGGTGCTGTGACTGTTTGTTGTAGGGAATTGCTGGCAGAGGCTGTTCCTTCTCCTGCTGTGCCTCAGCAACCTTGGTCTTGTCTGCTTGATGTACAGAGGCAATTTTGCAGGGATGCCTTTCCCCGAGGCCAGGACAGAGGGTTTGCTGCTTTAACATCAATATTCCTAGATTTTGGTCAACAGGCTTGTGCAGTGGCACTCTTGGGATTTGGTAGATGTGAAGGATCTGATGTTTTGAAGTGTGGGTGGAACTGTCACTGATTCAGAGCTGACTGAATTTATTTCTGATATGGGACAGGAATGTTCTGTACAGCCAAGCCATAAAAATATGGGAAGAGTTGGCCTTAGTGACCCACTGGGCCTCCTGGAGCTCCTGATCAAGGGGAAACACTGTTCCAGCCCCAGACAGGATTAAACCTTTGTTTTGACCTTGACAGCTGTTTTATCTTGACTTTTTGGGCCTTCCACGAGTCTCCCACTAACCTGCTGAAGAGCTCTGTGTGGGCTCTTTCCAGTGGAATAGAATCATGGAATATCCTGAGCTGGAAGGGACCCACAAGGATCATCCCTGTGGGATGGTCCTCCCGTGCAGGACACCCCAAAATCCCACCCTGTGCCACGTGCTGGGGAGAACAGGGACAAACTGCTCCAGTGGCTTTGTGGGAATGAACCTGCTGGTGGTGCAGCAGGAATGCTGAGTCACTGCCACGGATTCCAGGGCGCAGGGGCGGATTCCTGGAGCTCTGTGGGACAGCAATGCCCGAGCTTTTGCCTTCAGCTGGCTCAGAAGGGGGTTGGAGGGACAAACCTCACCTCTCTAACTCAGCCTGTCCCCGATTCCAGGGCAGAACTTCATCTCCTTCCCCCGGCACGAGGAGGAGCATCTCCAGCGCTCCGTGAGCTGGCACCCCTGCCTGCTCATCCTGGGCCAGAACTGCAGTGCCAAGTGCCAGCTGCTCAACATCCTGCTGGGGGAGAAGCTGCTGCCCACCACCAAGATCAGCAACGAGGAGAACTGCAAGAGGCGGCGGATCCGCTTCACGCACGGCAGCCAGACCCGGGTGAGCCTGGCCCTGCCCCAGCAGTACGAGCTGGTGCACGTGCTGGCAGCACACAGGGGGCACTGGGACACCATCCCTGAGGAGGACCTGGAGATCCAGGGGGACCCCGAGGACCCTGCCCACCGCATCGCCGAGCTGGAGGTCATGCTGCCCTACTCGCTGCTCAAGGTAAGGGGGTGCCTCGGTGTCCCTTGGTGTCCCTGCCCCATCCCAGGGGGATTTACAGTCCCTGATGGAGCAAACAGCCAGGCAGAGAGGGACCTGGGAGTTTGGATTGACAAGAAGCTGAACGTGAGCCAGAGTGTGCCCAGGTGGCCAAGAAGGCCAATGGATCCTGGCCTGGCTCAGGAACAGTGTGGCCAACAGGTCCAAGGAAGTGATTCTTCCCCTGGACTCAGCGCTGGTGAGGCCACCCCTGGAGTGCTGTGGCCAGTTCTGGGCCCCTCAGCTCAGGAAGGACATTGAGGGGCTGGAGCAGGTCCAGAGAAGAGCAACAAGGCTGGGGAAGGGACTGGAGCACAAGTGCTGTGAGGAGAGGCTGAGGGAGCTGGGGCTGTTCAGCCTGGAGAAGAGGAGGCTCAGGGGAGACCTCCTCACTCTCTCCAACTCCCTGACAGGAGGGGGGAGCCAGGTGGGGGTTGGTCTCTTTTCCCAGGCAACTCTCAGCAAGACAAGAGGGCTCAGGGTCTTCAACTGTGCCAGGGGAGGTTTAGGTTGGAGATTATAAAGAATTTCTTTGCAGAGAGGGTGATCAGCCATTGGAATGGGCTGCCCAGGGAAGTGGTGGATTCTCCATCCCTGGAGGTTTTTAAGCTGAGACTGGATGTGGCATCAGTGCCATGGGCTGGGAACCACAGCGGGGTTGGATCAAGGGTTGGACTTGATAATCTGGGAGGTCCCTTCCAACCCAGCTGATTCTGTGATTCTATGAAATGGTGCCACCTCTCAGGCAGAGGGGTTCCCCTAATTAAAGAGAAGCTGGAGTTTGGTGTCAGGGCTTTAACTGGACATCCCTGTCTGTGCTGATGTGCTTTTGTTTCAGTGTTGAGTCACAGAATCAGACAGATTGGAAAAGACCTCTGAGATCGAGTCCAACCTTTGACTCTTGGCATTGTTGTTCCTCTGTCGTGCTTCCATCCCTCTCAGGAGCCAAGCCTGGAACTCCAAGTGTCTTGGTAGATCCAAGGTTGATCCAAGCCCTGTCCAACCTGGCCTTGGACACTTCCAGGGATGGGGCAGCCACAGCTTCCCTGGGCAACCTGTGCCAGGGCCTCTCCACTCTCACAGGGAACAATTTCTTCCCAATATCCCAAGTGTCTTGGAGTTCCAGGGTTGTTCAGAGTTGGCTTTGCTGTCTCCTGGCAGCCAGCAGCTGTCAGACAAGGGTATGGACTTTATATCTATCCTGAAGAGCTCATTGTCAGCACAAAGCTTCTTCATTCCACCCTGGCTCCCTCTGGGAAAGGAGAGGCTTTTTGCATCTCTGTGCTGTCCCTGGAAGCTGCAGGTGTTCAGAGCAGGAAGGTGGGAGTTGATCCCAGTGCTGGTCCTAACACTGGTCGTCTCTTGCTTTGTGACTTTGCTTTCACTTGTTCGTAAAATCTGTTCCTGTTCTGGAGGGTTGTGGTTTGGTGCTTACAAATATCTGGCAGGGTTGTGTTTCACAGCTTCCTCAACCTTTTCATTGCATTTAATGAATGTGCTGAGCCTTTGTTATTGCAGTATAAATAATTCTGGAGCGTTGTGCTTGGCAGAATCCTAAAATCATGGAATGGTTTGAGTTGGAAGGGACTTTAAAGCTCATCCAGTCCCACCCCTTGCCATGAGCAGGGACACCTTCCACTAGCCCAGGTTGATCCAAGCCCCATCCAACCTGGCCTTGGACACTTCTCTGGGCAACCTGTGCCAGGGCCTCCCCACCCTCCCAGGGAACAATTCCTTCCCAACATCCCATCTAAACCTTCCCTCCTTCAGCTTTAGGCCATTCCCCCTTGCCCTTGTGAAAAGTCCCTCTCCAGCTCTCTTGGAGCCTCTTGGAGTACTGGAAAAGTGGTGCTGCAAAGGAGAAATGCCTGTTCTGGATCTTGTGTCTCCAAACTCTTGCCTTGCTGGGGCATAAAAGGGTCCTCAGCTGTCCCTTTCTTTGCCCTGGCTTAGGTTTTTTGCACGGGCCAGCTCTGCAGGGTGCAGCCCTCCCTCAGCTCCTCCTGGCAGGGACAAAGCTCCCTCTGTCTGCCCTCAGTTATATTTAGGACATTTAGATGAAAACAGCGACTCAGATCAAATTGAAAAGGGTTGGTGGAATAAAAAAGCTCTTCCAGTGGAAGGATGAGGGAGGGTGAATCAGCCTCAGATGGATTCAAAGGATTCCTGATGGCAATTCAAGGGCAAACAATTTTTTAAAGGCTTGATAGGAGATCCTGATTAATTGTCCAGGTGATGGGCTGGGGGACTTCCAACTTCCTGGGAAATTCCTGGTAAATCCCAGAGTTTGGCCTCCTCCTCAGACCTGTTTTATCCCACTTTTCTAACTCCTGGGAGTTCTCCAGCTCTGCTCAGCACAGGCCAAGCAGTGAAGTTTGAGTAAATACCTGCCTGTCATGGCCAGGACTTCTGGAACCAGTGGAATTTGTATCCAGAGCCACGATGGGGGAGGTTTCTGGACACTCTCCAAAATTTCGTGTCTGCAGAACAGCTCTGAAGGAACTTCTGCTTTTTCTTCACTTGTGGAACAAAACTCTGACTCTAATTACAGTCACATCCAGGGTGTTAACAGGATATTCAGTACTGATCTTAAGGATTTAGGTTACTGATCTTAAGGATTTAGGTTTGCCCAAGTAACTTGGAGGAGCTCAGTGTATTTTTGGACAGAGGGAGAGGGAAATCAATCTGAATTTTACCCCATTTGTTCCCTGAAATCCCTATATTTTCATCTGGGTTTTTTTGTATTTCATAACCTCCAATTTGACACATTTAAACACTTTGTTATTATTTGAATATTAACCACTAAATTATTTGGAAGTTAACAATATCCAAATAAATGAAACTATTTTTTTATTTGGAGGTAAATCAAATAGAAGTGTAGAATATTCCTGGTTTTAATATCAAGCTGCCACTGGAGCACCCTGAGGGATTTTTTCTACAGCCTCATATCCAGGCTGGCACCATCCTTGATTTTCTGTGCCTCAATCCAAACCTGTCTCACAGAAGAAGGGGTGAGGAAGGAGCCAAAAAATTTCATTTACATGGAATGGCTGCTGTGAGAACCTTGTGCCACTGGGTAGGTGAACTTTAAAAGTTATTTTTAAACATCAGATATCAGGGCTGGAAAAAAACCCCTTGGTTGGCAAAGCTGCTCTATTCCTTGGGGATCTCTGTGCACAGGAATTCATGTGGGTCATGGGGAATAATCCATTTAGCCAGACAGATTATTAGATTTACAGTGGGAGCAAACAGTTGGCTCTTTCCCTAAATCTTATCAGTTGTGCCTGGGAGCTGAAATGGGCTCCCCTGAAGGGTTGGTTTTCCCTCTGGATGGGCTTAAAAATTCCCTTTTCCTGCTTTTTCTCTTTGTTATGTGGGACTTGCAACCTTGGGCTGCGGGGTTTGTAGGGAAAGAAAACTGTTCATCTGCTCTGACAGAGTTGGGAAATGAATGGAGGGTAAGAATTGGGTTAATTTGGGTTTATTGTGTTGCCTCAGGTGCTGCAGCAGTGAGTCAGGGCACAGGAATTAGAGGCAAAGGATGTGCTTAAATACCTGCTGGGGGATAATTTATGGCCATCCTCGCTTAAAACTTGGAGGAATGTGCTCTGATCTCCTTCCTGAGAGTGTTTTTAATCTATATATCCAAACACATTTAAGCTTATAGGAATATAAAGGAGTGTTTTTAAAGGAATAAATGCAGTGTTGTAGTGTTAATACAGAAAAACATCCTGTTGGCTGAGGTGTTCTTCATTCCAGGTTATTTTGGGATGTGCTTTAGCGTGTCCTGCCACAAACTAGCATCCAACACTTGAAGTTGTCTCCATCTCCCCCTTTTTACTGGAATAACTGGGAGTAGGAGATGCTAAAAGTGCCAGGAGTGTGAAATTATTCTTCCAGCCACGTGAAACCTGTTCTGTTTCTTGTTTTTTGATTTCTGTTTTTTTGTGGTCAGGGAAGAGAGTTGCTCCTCAGGCTGGGGGCTGTGGGCACCTCAGAGGGTTTTTTTGGTCCCTTCCAGCAAAATTAAAATGGAATTTCCCTCCCAAACTGGGGTTAAAATCCAAGTTGTGTCCAGGACAGCAGAGTTTGGTGTCGATCACTTCTCTTCCACGGGATTCTCTCTGTTGCTGGTGCCTCAGATCCCCATGGAAACAGGATAAACTGGCAAGACTTCAGAAAAATTGGGTGGGGGAAGTGTGTGTAAAACAAACACAAAAAAAAAGATTCTAAGTAAGATCTGGGGGTATAAACGTTCCTCAGATTAATAGGGAGGCATGAAATGAGCTCCCATGTGTAATAAATGCAGTGACTGTCAGACTTCAGTGAGTCACAGGCTGTTCTTGGAAGGCAAAGTATCCAATTGGTGCAGGAAAAGACTGGCCTTCAGTCACAGGAGGAGTTTGGGTAAAAAAAGGGACTAAATTGGGTTGGTTTTCAACCCCTCAGTTCACTGAGCAAACAGTGATTAAACTGCCTGGGAAAAATAGGACAAGGCCCTCTTGGGATGGAGCAAAGAAATGCTTTGGAGTGCCTTGGAAATTAGGAATTATCTGTTGGTTTAGTAAACTGGCACATTCAGCAGAGACTCCACTTGTCTCATTGCAGGTCAAGATCTCCTGGATCCTTGGTTTTTTTCATTTTTATTCCCTGGGTTGGTGCCTGCAGCCCCTCGGAAGTGGCAGGGCTTTAACTCCAATATTTGCCTTCCTGACGTCCAGGTGGCCAAGTGGGAAGCTTTGGTGTTTTATAAAGTGCAGGAAAACAGGGCTGGAGTTCCTTGACAGCAGCTGGATGCTCCCAGCTCCGTGGAGGAGTGTTTACAGCAGCCTGACCTCGGGAGAACCAGCTGCAAAATTTTGGGAATCCCCCGTGGGTCAGAGGTTTTCCCCTTATTGATGCTCAGCAGGATGGAGCTGCAGAGATGATGCTCCAACATCTCTAGGACACTGAGGGGAGGGGAAACCAACCAAAGGGTGGGCAAGGAATGTTTCCTCTTTGGAAAAGGTTCCTGTGGCAGCAGCAGGACCAGTTGCTCGGGGTGTTGGGGGGGTGTGTGTTGGTTTTTTCCCTGTCTCCTGGAGACAGCTCTGGCTTCCTCCTTTGTTTACAGTGGCTGCTGTGAGTCAGCTCCTGGGGGATGTTGCAGCCCTGCACATCCCCTTCTGCTCAGCTCCTGTGCTCCAGCCAGGTTTGGGGGCAGGAGTGGCTTCCTGAGAGCTCTGAGGGTGATCAGGAGACCTGGTCAAGAAAAATGACTGAAGGATTGTTAATTATCACCCTCTGTTATGAGCCAAAGATGATACTTTAAATTATCTCTTCAGTTCAAAGCCTTTCTTTCCTTATTTTAGCAGTGATGTGTGGAATTCTAACACTGATCTTGCACATCCAAAGGGGACTCTCATCTTCCTTGGAAGGGAAGGAAGCAGGTTTCAAACTGGCCCTTCCCAGTAGGGTTGGTAAGAAGTGCTGTCTCACAGCAGTGCAACTGTGCAATAAGAAAATAACCAAACAAAATCCATCTTTTAGCTTTTGGTTGGATTTAAAGACAGTCATAACCAAGCCTGTCACAGCCATCTGTTCTCCTGGCTGGAAACTCAGATTGTTGTGCTGCTTTTTTCTTGGCAGTAGTGAGTTGTTGTAGTGCTTCCTGCTCCTGGGAATCTGGCAGCAGGGATGTCTGGGAAACATCAGCAGGAGAGGCTGATGCAAAATGGGACAGGTATAAGCTGAAGAATTCCAGTTATCCTGTGATACTGGGACACTTGTTGGAAGTTGAGAATAAACTCAAAGGTTCTTGGTACAGAATAAGAAATGTGGAGTCAGTGGGCACTGCTCCATGTGTGGGTGCATCCCTGCTCCAGCTACTCTATGACAGCACTTGCCTGGGATACTTTTTGGAAGTTTTCTTCTAAACTGGGCTAAAACTCAAAGGTTCTTGGCACAGAATAAGAAATTTGGAGTCGGTGGACACAGACCCCTGTGTGGGTGCATCCCTGTGGGATCAGCCTTGCAGGTGATGCTGTGTGTGAGACCCCAGAACTCCTTCAAGGGATTTGAATGGTTCTGGTTTTGGTTCTGCTGCATTTTGGCACGTTGGGACCTGCCCAGCCGTGTCTGTGTTTGCCCTCAGGAGGTGGACGTGGTGGTGGCTCCGTGCCGGGGCTTCCAGCCGGCCGAGGACACCCTGGGGGAGTTCGTGAACCAGGTGCTGCCCGTGGTGACCTTCGCCATCAGCGAGGCCCAGCTCTCCCCCTCGGACCAGAGCGAGCTGAGAACCATCAAGGAGAAGTTCTCCCTGCCCATTTTCTTCTTCCGCGTGCCCGAGGCCGGCGGGGAGCTGATCTCCCCCAAAAAAACAGACAGTGAGAAATCCTCCCTGCACTGCCAACTGCTGGACCTGCAGTACCTGAGCTCCAACCACTGCAGCTGTGGGGACACCAGCACCCAGAGCATGTTGGTGGAGCAGCTGGAGAAGCTGAGGCTGCTGAGCACCTTCTCCAGGCAGGTGCTGCAGAAGCACTTGGTGGAGGCGGCCACGAGCCTGAACGAGCTGCACTGTCGCTGCCTCAACATCTTCATCAACCAGGCCTTCGACATGCAGAGGGACCTGCAGATCACGCCCAAGAGGCTGGAGTACACCCGCAGGAAGGAGAACGAGCTCTACGAGTCCCTCATGGGCATCGCCAACCGCAAGCAGGAGGAGATGAAGGACATGATCGTGGAGACTCTGGGCAACATGAAGGAGGAGCTGCTGGAGGACGCGGCCAACATGGAGTTCAAAGGTAGCTGCACCGGGGGGAGTGGAGATGGTGGTGGGCATGGAGATGGTGGTGGGCATGGAGAGCTGGGGGGAATGGAGAGCTGGGGGGAATGGAGAGCTGGGGGGAATGGAGAGGGTGGTGGGGATGGGGATGGAGATGGTGGGTGGGAATGGAGATGGTGGTGGGAGTGGAGAGTTGGTGGTGGGAGTGGAGAGTTGGTGGT